TGTACCAGTCTACACTTCTACTTTTAGCTAAAGTGTTAGAGCCGAGGAATTAATTTGGTGGCCCTGTGTCTGAGTGCAGCACAAAAAGGGCTTCAAGAATTCTCTTTCAGTTGTAACGTGGAAGACCAGGCAACAGGTGCCTTAACTTTGCAAAGTTGATTCAGACGTTAGCCAGGGGAAGGCAGAGTAGCAGTGGTAGCACAATGGAGGAAGACTATGTGTTAGAATCGACATGGAGGGTCTGCACGGTAGGAAACCAGATTTGTTACTCTGGAATGCTCAGAAACAATTAGAGGCAGTGGTGTTGGGGGCATGTGTGAAACTTCTTTCGAGGGTGTGCATGTTCGCAGAAGACTATGCATGTCTTACAGCAGGTGTGGATTGGATGTTATGGAAGTACCACGAGTGGAGAAAGTAATAGGTATAAGGAGCCATGGAAACATCATGAAGGGATGCGTATAAGTAGGTCTTAAGAGATATACAGATTTTAGGTGCATACAGTGGTTTGGGTAAGTGGAGGAAAATAAGAGCATTTGATTCTGATGTGAAGGGAAGCATTCAGGGACAATGCCAAAGAGTTTCTGGGAGGATCTGTTATAAAAGAAAGTTTTAAGATACTCCAGGAGGGAAAGCAATAAAAAGAGTAATAGATAAAGTGGTAAAGATTTTTATTATTGTAAATCTGAATGACATTGATTGGGTTCCCTGGTTACAATGTTTACTCAATGATATTGTAAATTAGGGTGAGAATTTAGACTGTGACATTAAAACTCTTCTATGTAGATGACATTATTTAAATGCAGATGTGTACAATCTTCATGTAATTCAAGAGTCATGGTCCAACTGTGTCAGATAATGAAGAGGTATTACAGTATTCACTTTTTAGTAGCCATTTTAAAGATTACCTAGGTGCATTTAACTTAATTTTTTTTTAAAAGTGGCCACTAGAGGGCATTGCTTTATTTAAATAAAGAGGAGTGATAACCTGAAATTACTATTTTATTAAATTAAATTCAGTAGAGAACCTGTTCTGTTATAAAGGGCACTTGATTACATTTACAATATTCAGTTCTAATTTCAGCTCTTTCACTATTTTGCCTGCCTTTGTATTTAGTTTTCTTATTTCTTGAGTTTCTCTTCTGTTAAATATAGTCTATTCCTTGTCTTGTAATCCGTGAATTCAGTAAAATGGTATACGTGCTCAATTACAGGGTATTTATTGATTAAAAAATAAATGATTTATCTTCCATTCTCTTCCAATGTCCCTAGCACAAATACACATGTGTGTCTATGCACACACTGGTGGGAAATTTTATACATACTGTACAATTTAGCATCTTATTAACATGCGACGGTCATATTGTGTATAACTGATTGATTTGGTTGCCTTTCTTCTTTTTTTTTTTTTTTTTTGGTCTTTTTCAGACAGGGTCTCACTATGCAGTTCAGTCTAGCCTTGAGCTCAGTTTGTAGCCCAGGCTGGTCTCGAACTCTCAACTATCCTCCTGCCTCAGCCTCCCAAGTGCTGGGATTACAGATATGCGCCACCATGCCCAGCACCAAGGCCTTCCTGCTTCTACTCTGCCCCACTGTCTGTCCCAGAGACGTTGAATGTATTGATTTATTGTGGTACAGGAGGTTCAGCCGAGCTCCTCAGCACCAAGCTACATCTCCAGCCTCAGCCTCTTCTCTTTTCATTTTGAGACAGGGTCTTCCTAAATCACTAACTTGCCTCGGCTTGCTCAAACTTGCCATCCTCCTGCCTCAGCCTCCCAGAGTGCTGGGATTACAGGCTTCCGCCGCTATACCCAGCAGGGAGCACCCCTTTAGGTCATGCATCCTCCCCCGAAGTTCGCTGTGTGGCCCAGGAGGCGCTGTGGAACCTGTTTTTTTTCTTACCCTGAGACCCCTCCGGCAGCATCCCCTTGCAGTCTCCCCTCTGCCTGAATTGTCTCCCGGGGATGTGCAGGCCCTCTGCTAGAATGGTAGGGCAGCTGCTCACTGTTCTCCCCTGCCCTGTTTTCCTCCCGGTCCTCGCCTGGCCTGGCCTGGCCTGCTGCACAGTGCACAGCACTTGTTTCCTGTCTGAATCGCCCCCACCCTCTGCTCAGGTGTGCGTTTTGCCAGCTGCAGTCACTGCCCAGAGCCTAGGACAGCATGGGACGCTGATTAGTGTCTGTAGGGCCCAGCTTAAAACACGGACCCACAGGGGCTGGGGATTTAGCTCAGCAGCAAAGCACCTGCCTGGCAAGGGCAAGGTCGTGAGTTCGGTTCCCGGTACTGGAGAAAAAACCAAAAAAAAACAAAAAACAAACAAAAAAAAAAAAACACGGACCCACGTCAACCCCCACCCTGGCTGTCCTCGGAGCTACTGCCACCCTCCCCCTCTGCCCAGAGGTTTCTCTTCCTTGACATGAGGGGGTGGACTTAGTGCCCTCAGGTCTCAGCCTCCAACCTGAGAGAGACACAAGGGGAGAGGGACAGAGGACAGGGACACTGTCCTGGGGCTGGGCTTTGTAGTTCAGAAGCCCCTCCCAGACTGGCGGACCCTGCCGGGCATGGTGGTGCATGCCTGTAATCCCAGCACTCAGGGAGGCTGAGGCAGGAGGATCGTTGAGTTTCAGACCCGCCTGGGCTACAAAGGGAGCTCAAGGTCAGCCTGAACTGCATATTGAGACCCAGTCTCAAAAAAAAGACAAAAAACCCCCAACAAAACAAAACAAAAAACCAGACTGAGGGACCCATCCCCCCAGCTTCTGGAAAGGTGTCAGCTTTCAGATACCTCGGGAATTACCCTCTGCTGAAGAGAACCACTCGCCCAATGTCGCACCCCATGGGGTGGGGGGAGCCTCGGCTCAGTGTCAACCAGAAGGTCCCAGCCCTGAAACCATCCCAGGATCAGCACTGGCATTCCTTGTGGGGTGACTGAGGCCCCCTAAGACTACACAACCACTCAGCCTCTGCCAGGCCCAACAGGAGCAGATCAGGGGCGTGCTTCCCACCGAACCTGCTTGCTCCCCGGGACCCCGGCCTGAGGACAGTCATTTAGAGCTGAGGGCAACCAGGTGTGGCGGCACATGCCCGTTAATCGCGGCACTCTGGGAGGCTGAGGCAGAAGGATTGCAAATGCCAGCCCACCCTGGGGCAATTAAAAATAAAAGGGCAGGGGATGTAGCTGGTCGCAAAGGCCCTGGGTTCAATTGCCAGTGTGTGTGGGGGCGTTTGAGGACAATCTGGGGAGTTCTCGAGTGTGCAAGCGTGAGTGTGCAAGCATACGTTTGCGTGGGTTGGGGGACAAGGCTGAGCCACGAGGCTGCCTGCACCTGCGCAGGCTTCGTGACCTTTATTTAAAGTCCTTCACTAGAGCAGCCATTCTCAGCGACACCTGCCCCCTTCGCAGCAGGGACCGCTTTGCTCTGCAGGGAAACGGTCGCTCTCCCAAATAGGATCCTCAGTTTCAGCAGCTTCCCAGAACATTCTGGTCAGAGCGCAGAGATCTCAGAGCCCCGGGCAGCTCTGGAGACCCAGCGAGCCAGGGGTGCAAACTGGGCTGCCGCGCCCTGGGCTGCGCGTTAAGGCAAAGGCGCGTGCGTGGAAGCCCCCCCTCCTTCCCCGTAAGGCACACCCCACAGCAGCGCCGCACGCCAGGGCGAGACCGCGCAGGAGGACCCTCCAAGTTGGACCCCGGTCCGAGCAAGTCAAGTTTAGACAGAAGCTAAAGGGGGAAGGGTCGTCCCGGTCAGGGGTCCCTAGGAACCCCTCTAGCCCTCTAGCGCCAGTCCCCTGCGTCCCTGGACGCCTGGCCTGGGTTCCTCTCGCGGCCGCGGGGTTAAGCGAGGGCAGAGGCAGCGAACGATTTCAGAGAAACCGTCCAGGCCTGAGTTCCCATAAACGCGCGGGCCGCAGGGGGTGGGGCGGGGCTGGAGGAAGTGGGGACGGGAGGGGCGGCCCAGCCCTCGGACTTCCAGTAACAGGTCCGCGGGGCGGGGCTCCGCTTCCTGCTCCCGGGGGAGGGAAGCCTGTCCCGCCGGGGATCTACGCGGCCACCCCCGGCACCCCAGCGTTCATCCTCGAGGTGCGTGGGGAGCCCAGCCCAAGGAGACCTAGCGCCTTTGGGGTTGGGATGCACAAACCCGAGGCCTCCCTCCAGCGAGTGCGGGCCCTCTGGAACTGCACCGCACAAGGGGTCAGACTCCCGCTGGCTCCCCGTGCCGCGTAGCCTGGCATCCACCCAAGATCTCCTGGCAGCCCGGAATCCAGTCGCATAACCTTCCCTAAGAATCAGGACTTCCCCATTTCCTTTGCGCTCTAAGTCTCCACATTACCCCTTCCTTCCCTGCCTTCTTGGGGATCTGGGGATACAGGGTCCCAATTCTTGCCCCCTTAGGGACCTGGACTTCCAAGCCCCTAGGCAAGACCAGATTCATGTGACTGCAACTGCACAGGGTTGACAACTTTCTGTTGTCACCGTTTTTGCAATGTTTTTTTCTTTTCTTTTTTTCCGCCTCAGTACTAGGCATGGAACCCAGGGCCTTCCCACTGAGTTACATCCTCAGCCCTTTTAAAAATTTAAATTAGCTGGGCGTGGTGTCGCACACCTGTGAACTGAGCACTAGGGAGGCTGAGGCAGGAGGATTGCAAAGAGTTTGAGGCCAGCCTGGACTACATAGCATGTACAAGTCCAGCCTAAACTACATATTGAGACCCTGTCTCAGAAAAAACCAAAAACCCAAAAAACAAAAAACAATTTAAAATTTTAAAAAGCATTTTTGAGAAAACAACAAAACGAAACAGAAAATCAGCCACTGAAGTTGCTAAATTGCCGAGGCTGGGCTTGAACATGCCATTCTCCTGCCTCAGCCTCCCAGAGTGCCGGGATCACAGGTCATCCCCACTACACCTGGCTTACTATTCATCATTTTTGACCAAGGATCCCTGCAAATTACAGTGTCACTGGTCGTGCACCGAGGGCTTCTCTGATCGCCTGGTTCCCAGGCTGCTGCTTAGCTTGTTCCTTAAACCTGCCAGGATCAAGGTCCAACTTTCCGCCCTCAGACTCTAAGCATGCGCACCCCTCCACAGCAAGATTTCCAGCACTCTGATCCCTAATCTTGTGTGTGGGGGTACAGCTGCCCTGGAAGTCCAGCCCCCACCTTTGCTTCCTTGGGGACTCAGACCTGTGTCCGCTGCCCTCCTCCGCCGTGCCCTCCCCCGTGCGAAGCGGGCGGCGGCGCAGGTTGGGGCTGCGCCAGCTGCCCGTTCCGGTAAAGCCGCGGCCCCAGCGGAAGGGGTTAAGGTTGGAGGGAGCGCCGGGAGGGGAGGCCGCGAGTGAGTGAAGGGTGCTGACGTGGGGAGGCCGAGCAGCTGGGCTGCGGTCGGGCTCTGCGGGAAGGGATTTCCCCGGCCGGCAGCTGAGGCCGGAGTGTTTGCGCTGGGGACGGGAGGAGGCAGCGTGGGGTGAGGGGCTGCGGCTGGGGACCTGTGGGCCCGGTGGCCTCTCCCTGCGCTCAGCTTCCAGGCCGCAAACACCTCACCCCTGGGGACAGATACAAAGGAAACCTGTTTCCAGATGACCCCCTGGCACCCAGAGTGGGAGGAGCCAGTTTGATGGGGCCCTTTGTGTACCAGGCACTTTCTCTGCTTGGGCCGGCAGATGGCCTCCACCCAACACCTGGGAGCCCCATCTGCACGGCCCCCTCCCAAGAAGTGAGCTTCCTTTGCCCAGGCCCGTTCTGTGCAACATACTGTGTGGATCATGGCGCTAATCCCGAAGCATGATGGGTGCTAGGTTAAGGCCTGGGTTCCAAACAGGGAAACTGAGGCTCAAGGATGTAAGTTCCTCAGTGGGCCCTTCTCTGGTTCCTATGTGCTCAGTCCTGGGGATCAAACCCAGAACCTCCACCACGGAGCACACCACCCCCCTGCCCCTTTTATTTATTTATTTATTTAAGCCAGGGTCTCACTAAATTGCTCAGGGGGCTCGAACTTGGGATCCTCCTGTCTCAGCCTCCCTTAGTGTTAGGAGATTAAATGATTTCAGAAAAACCATCCCTGTTTAGTTCCTGTTTTTACAGTGGGTGGCGGGGGGATGTCAGGCATGGGGGGCGGGGAACACCAGTCATTGAAGATTTAAACCCAGATCAACCTCGTAACAATAATCATGCCGGTCAATTGCACTGAGCGCTTTTTATGTGCCTTTCACAGGGCTACAGCCAGAGCTCCTGGCAGCCTCAGAGCTTATTCTCTGAACTGCAGGTGACAAGCCAGGGGACTGTGAAATCAAGTTTAGGGGACGTCTGACTTAGCCGGCTATGACCACGAGACAATGAAGTAGACTAGAATAGAAAAGATCAAAATAGGTCCTGTGAATAAGAGTAAGTATTGTTTTTTTTTTGAGCCAGGATCTGCTATGCAGTATAGGCTGGACCGACTTGAACTCTATGAGGCCTAGGCTGGCCTCATACTCAAGGTCCTCCTGCCTCAGTCTCCCAAGTGCTGGGATGATAAGTAAGTGTCACCAATTTGTGCAACTTTTACTTCAAGTTTGTGTGTGTGCAGGCACGCTTGGATGGAGCTGAAGTAATAATGGTGATATTAATTAGTACTTAGTAAACACCTCCTATAGCAGGGCTAGTACTAGGGGCTTTGTATGCATCATTCAAATAGACAATGGATCAGAAATGTCATTCTCCTCTTTGGATTGTGATTAAAAAATTTTGAGGGGCAGTGGGTAGAGCTCAGTGGTAGAGTGTTCTTGGCATGCATGAGGCCCTGGGTTCAATCCCCAGTTCTGGAAAATATGTGAAGCCCACTGCTCCGGAACCAGTCCTAGGAGGTACGTGCACTCTGTGAGCCCCTTTCCCAGTGGAGGGGCCTGGAGAAGAGCTGCTTCAGGTCACACAGGGGCGTCTGTGGCTGGAGGGCCGACCACTGCACCCTGCACCACCCACTCCTCCCTGCTCACAGGGGCTGTCACTCACGTGTCCCCGTCCTCATCTGCACGGGTGGCTGTGGCGATGTCCACTGACAGGGGATGTTCCATGGAGCACATCATGGGGTACAGGGGTGTAGACAGGTTCATCAGAGGAAAGGAGCCCACTGGTGGGGTGGGATACAGAGGCAGTAAGGGTCCTGGGCAGGGACAAAGAGAGGACACAGGTAAGCCCACAGACCTCCACCTGCTCCCACTCCAGACCTCAGCTACCGAAATGTCACGGTTACCCCTCCAAGTCCCTCGCTGGAACTCAGAGGATCCGCCTGCCTCAGCCACCTGAGTGCTGGGATTATAGGCATACGCCATTGCTCCAGCTCTTTGTGCACCTTAAACTGGTCCTCCAGCTCCAAATCCACCTCCTGGATCACATCCCTGCAGCCTGCCCTCCTCAGCTCTGATCACCCTCCTGTCGCTTGTCTTTCCTTTTGTGGGTATGGCCCCTGTCCCCACCAGGCATGGTCCCCAGGGCCTGTTTGCTGGATGACTCTGGCTGAGGGGAGGTCTTCGTGAAGATGTGGGTGTGGGGTGGGGACTGGACACACGCTGGGTCTGCAGTGGGGCAGGGGCGGGGGCAGAGGGGCTCCCGAGGCTGGGCCAAGGCCCAAAGAGGCCTGGATGTTGGGAAACCACATCCACCCAACGCAGACAGGGGAAACTGAGGCCTCACCCAGGGAATGGGGGGCAGAGGTTCCTCTTCTGCAGCGCGGATGGGATGGGAGCTGTGGAAACCGGGTGAGGGCCTGGCACCCTAGAGATGGGCTCTGAGCAGCTCTGGCGACCCCAGGGTCATAAGGCCGCTGCGGTAGGCGGTGACCCCTTCTTGAGCTCTGGAATGAGGACATGTGTGGCTTTCCCTGCCATCTGTCATCCTTGGGAACTTGCATTCTTGTTTCCAGGTTCCTGGACCTCCAGTTACCAGACCTTGGGGCTCTAAGGCCTTCCACGAAGCGGCCCGAATCTCTCCTCTGGCCCTGCTCCTTGAGTACCAGAATTCCGGTCCCTGAGCCCGGGTAGCACCCTGATGACTGTGACACAGGCACCCGGGCCCCAGAGCGCTGGGTCTCTGTTCCCTGGGCTCCTCTGAACCCACAGCCTCTGTCCTTGCAGCATCAGTTTTTCCCCCTTGGGTCCCCCTGATCCCAGACACTGGGGTGTGCTCAGCCCCCAAATCTCTCCTAATTCTCACGGCTGCTGCTGTGTTAGTTGCTGAGACTTTAACTTCTGGCCTTCTCACATCAGTCTCCTTACAACCTCCGTCTGTTTGGTTGACTCCCTTTGAACCCACATATCTAGATACCACAAACGCCCATTTCTCAGGCCCCAGTGTGGATTCCTCATACACACAGAGGATTTTTCCCCCTTGCCCTGGGGATGGGACCCTGGTGCACGCTGCTACCGGCTACAGCCCCAGTTCTTTCCATTTTTTATTTTAAGACAGAGTCGCCATAAATTGCCCAGGCAGGACTCAGATTTGGCAACCCTTCTGCCTCAGCCTCCCTCAGTGCTGGGATTACAGGCATGCACCATAGCATTCTGGTTCTTACGTGGTTATAATTCCATGTCTCTGCAAGGTGAAGCTCTGCCTCCAGAGTCTGACGCCCCCATCTGTATCTCTGGGGATTCTTCCCTGGCTCCCCATTATGTGTGCCACTTGGCCCCGGGGCTCTGTCCTGCAGGGTTCCCAGACTCCCAGCTCCCCGGGACCCTCATATCTGTACCCCCGAGCCCTGCTGGCTGCTCCCTGAAGATTTCCTTCTGTGTCCCTGGGACCTCGGGTTCCAGTCGCCCAGCTACCCGGAACTCCATGCATTCGTGTCCCCAGCGCTGTCCCCCGCACGGACCCTGTGCCCTGGCCCGCGGAGCCACTCACCCGGGTAGTAGAGCGCCTCGGGCCTGGGCAGGCCGTGGGGGTGCGCGGGCGCGGCCGGGCCATCGCAGCCGCCGCGCAGGGGG